ATCACTCATGTGACTATGGGTTGCAGTATACGCCCTTAATTTAGATTATGGATTTGATTTCCTCCTTGTATGCTGGTGTAATCAGAAGCAACTCCACTAAAGCAAACAATTACATTGGTATGAGAGGAGAATTAGGCCCTGCTAGAATATATATTTATTCTTAATGCTCAACTCTCAATCCATCTTAAATCATTAAAGGAGAATGATTTTTCCTTTAGGCTATTTCAGGTGTTAATTCCACTTAAAGGTACCAGAAAAGGGCCAAAGTGCATGCAGTCTTTCTCTCATAACTATTGTTGCAAAGTCCAATCAGAAATGCATGGGAATCAAGTGAAACTATTAAATATATTATATATAAATAGTTTTACCTGCCCAGCATGGTCCTGCTAAAATTTAGATGGCAAGAAATTTACCAATTTACCAAAATGTAGATGGTAAGAACCTCTCCCTCATCCTTTTAGGCTTGAGTTTTCCTTTTGAAGCTAAATTGTATTTGTTGTTGGTTTAAAGAATTTTCCTGTTTTTGGAACACTGGACCTGATTCTTCTCTCATATATGCTGGTGTCAATCAGGAGTAATTCCATTGAAATCAATGGACTTACACAGTTAAAACTACTGAGAGAGCAGAAACAGGCCCAAAGTCTATTCCAGATCAAACTTTGATGGTAAAGCCATTTAGAAAGCAAAAGATAATTTGCAAGGCAGCTCCTTTGCTCACTTGTCAATCCAGAGCAATTCCACTGAAAGCAATGCTCCTTACTCTGATACTACTTCTGGTGTAACTCCACTGCTTCAATGCAGTTAACTTTTGATGGTCATAAGTGTGAGATCAAAATAAGGCTTGCTGTATCTTATAGATGCCCCTACAGCCGAGATCTTTTATACAGTATTAGCATGTCTAAGGGCTGTTAAATATATGCAGCTAAATCTGTACTGGGAGGAGAAAATGCCCAGATAAAGAAACACAGATTCTTTGACGTGCACACCATACATGCTAACCTGTTCCATGCACTAGTATCACAATTTGTTATTTCTGATATTTCCTATTTTTTCCTGCGTTGAAATTCTAAGACTCTATCTCTTCTCTCTGTACTTATACACCTCTTTTCTGGGACACAGTTGACCACCAGAAGTATGGTATAGAACCAGTTATGAACAAAACAAGTAGAAAAGCTATCTGAATTTTTCCATACCTCAAAGTAATTTTAGTTTGGGTTTAGTTTGAGCCGGTTCTTATTGTATTCCAACTAGTATGTCAGTTATTAGGACCAAATTCTCCCATCGTTTACTCTACTTTTACACCAGCAAAACTCCTCTAACTCCTGATTCTCACTAGAGTGAGATGAGACTCAGCCTCTAATCTTAATTACCAAAAATTTACATCATAAACTTTTCTGTATAATACACAATCACTTATTTACACTGCTGTGCTTGTGCAGCCTCCTGACCTAGAGTTTGAAGAGTAGATTAGAAGCAAACTTCCCTGTCTATGAGCTTCAGAGGGGTAGCTGAGAGAGTCTGTAACAGGAAAAGCTTTTAAAACAACACGTAGTCTAGTAGCACCTTAAAGACTAACAAAACATGTAGATGGTATCATGAGCTTTCATGGGCAAAACCCACTTCTTCTGGTCATCTGAAGAAGTTGTTTTTGCCCATAAAAGCTCATGACACATATGTTTTGTTAGTCTTTAAGGTGCTACTGGACTATTTGTTGTTTTTTAAGTTTTCCCTGTCTAAGTTAGCGTTTCAAACATTCTAAACCTGATTCTCTTCTCAGACATGTCAGTAACAAAATGTCAATGACTCAGCCTTTGGTGGAATAACTCTGATGTAAGCTAGAAGGGAGTCAAGATCCTAAAATGTTCGGTTGGTGTTACCACCTTGCAAATACAGCTTATTTCAAGTGAAATAAATCACCTATAAAATAACATACAATTGCATGTTTCTGTAAGTCACCTACAAGAACAAAGCTTGAATTCAAAAGTTTTCAATGCTTTTCAGGTTTCTAACAGACCTTGTGAAAACTGAATATAAAAGATGTTGAGGGGCTAGCCAGTTCTCTCTAATATATTCACCCGCGTCTCCACTCTGCAGAGATGTGGCCCTGGCTATCTTGTAATGTAAAGGCGTGGACTTGCATTCCTTCTGACATCCATCATGGCGAGTGGGTCATCCGGGCTGACTACATCATTTGGATTGATTCTCATGGGTTCTCTAGGCAGGTGATCAAAGTGAGTCTGCAACCTCTGAGGTCCTGTGTCAAAAGCCTCTCCCCGAGGGATCAAAATCTGGAGGGGATCAACATCTGCATTCCTAGTGTGCCTGTGGGGTTCGGGTGTGTTGAATCGGATCAGAGGGATTTCATTTCTCCTGGGCAAAAACTGGGAGTATGGTGGCAGATTCATACCAGGGAAGAAAGCTTGTTTATTCCTGCCCAGGCTGACCAGGAAGTTGTGCTTGGGAGACTGGTACACATCATATCCATTTTCCAGTGTTCTGTGTTTAAACATGCAGTCCTCTTGACTGAAGTAATGCTTCGGAAACAAAAACAGAACAACCATTAATGGAAGGGTTTAATTGTTAAGAAGTGTCAACACACAATTCAAGGGCAATGGGCCAGATCCTGCAGTCATGGGTGTAGTCCCACTGGCTCCAGCCAGCCATTTTGCGTGAGAAAAGAGTATACAATTTGGCAAGTGCCTTAGGAAGAGCTGTGCAAATCATTGATTTTTTTCAGTGTAATGGCTGAATTAGTGTAAACAAAGTTGAAAGAACTGTTTGTGTTTTTAACCTTGTTTAAAAAAAATAAATCAGTAAAATTCAAAATTAAAAAGGGTGCTTCAAATATATTTATTGAATTTAGGAAATGTCAAAGCCAAATATTTTGATTAAAACAAATCCCTCCCCCTCCTTTCCAGTAACCCTCCAAAAAACAATTTGACCTGAATTTAGATTAACTGAATTTGCATCTTTTTGTAAAAAAAAAAAAATGTGGCCAGCAAGATGCGGAGGGCCACCTGTAACATTTTGAACAGCTCTCTGACTCTAGTGGGAGCTGAGGTGCTTGGGACCTTCTAGAATGTGATCAGTGCACTGCAGGATTCAATCCTTATCTCTCATGAGTCTCTGATTAGGTAACAAATCAGTAAAATGTTCCGCTAACAGTCATTCCCCTTGTATGTCAGAGTTCCTAAGAGGTTTTCAGCAAAGATCTTTATTCAACTAAAACTCTGCCTATGAAGGTTCTAATGTCAGAGCCATTTCCAGCCTGGATGGCAGACAGCAGAAATCCTGGCTGATCATTCTTGACTTAATTCTGACCTTGGTTACTCCACTGTAATACCTTGGGCTTTTGTGGAGATCTCACTTGCACATGGCTAGTACAGGTTTGACATCCCTAGTCCAGCACCCTTGAGACACTGACTGGTCCCGGAATGAGGGATTTTGCCAGACCAAGGGCAGTAATTTTTGGCTCCTCTGACACCAGCTCCAGCCCTGGCCCAGCCCACCAACCTCCCAGTCGGCTCCCGACCTGCTGCTGGCTCTGCTGCCCTGCCAACTCTGCAGGGCAGCCATGCCCCAGGGCTCCCGACGCTGTCAGGCAGCTACCACTTGTGCAGCTCCTGGCCTTGCCAGGCAGCCACAGTTCCACTGCCATGCACTGGGCAGCCCTGCCGGCAGCTTGCTGTGGGCAGCCTGCTGCCCTGCCAGCCCCCCGGGGATCCCTGCTGCTGGCCCTCCACCGGGACTCGCTGATCTTGCAACATCTGTGCCAAACCATAGATATTGCTGGACCAGGGAGTCCCAGTTTAGAGAGTTTCAACTTGTAGAATGAAACTCAATATAACTGACTAAAAGAAACAAGTTTAACCTGAACCCAGGGCCAGGTCCTTAACTGTTGGATATCTGCGTAGCTTCCTTTACTAGTAGTATATAACTTTATACCAGATGAGGATCTGGCCCTAGAATAAAAAGAAACCTGTTCTGCATTTCACTTTAGTCTTGGTCAAGTTAGAAGCACTCACCGATCCAAAGATATTTCCTTTAATGTCCATACATAGGTAGCGCCCACTCTTTACACCACTTATCACCACATAGCCAGCATCCTCAGATTTGATCATTAGAGCACCTGTAAAGAAAAATGAAGCTATCTAAAAGTGGGGCAGGAGTGATCTTTTTATTAATTTATCAGGCGGTTTCTTTGCATCCACTGCTTGTGTTTAGTTTTAGTACAGTTTTGCAAGTTTGCTCTTATTCTTTAAATATTGAAGCCCAATACGCAGAACAATTGTAGGTATTTTTGTTTTGGCATTAACTTTGTAAATATTTCTTAATCCCTTTTTTAAGCAAATTCCATCTGGATTTCAGCTGTTCAGTATTTACCCTTAGTGGGAGACCCTTGCTTATGCCTCTCGCTTTCTCAGGAGTGCGCAGCTTGCTTTCATGCCATGATAACAGGATAAGTGTAGCAGCAATGGGGTCCCTTTGGCTGAATGCACAGAACACAGCAGCAAAGTCACTCTGTACATCTTGCACAGCACCCTGAGGGAGATCGTTATATCTTAGCAAAACTGCAGCATCCTGAATATTTACTATCACTTTCCATCCTGCTTACCTCATTCCTATAGGTGAATTTTGTTATCAAAAGATTAAAAATGTGTGTAATCTTACTGGAGCTTATTCTCCACTTGGCCACACAGGTATTACGGCCATGTAACTAAATTGATATGATTCCATAAATTTCATGTAAAACTGGTGTAACAGAGAGAAGGTACAGGCCCTTTTGTGTAAGCTTTAATCCATAATTCCTAATTGAGCCAATAACATACAAACATGATGCCTCTTGATTTGATCAAGATAGTTGTAATTTATGCAATAATACATTTTATATTTAAACAGAAGGCAAACTTTTCTTTTTCTTACCCATCCCCTTAAGCTCCCTGTCAATGGGAAGATTTTCCTTCTTGATGAGTAGAATTGCAGTGGGTTAATGGGTTAACAATCTTCAATATTCCTAGCAGATCAGAGTTTTGAAATGGGCAGAGCACTTTTTAAATAGCATTACAGATACTCTAACAGAGTGCTTTAGTTTCTACAAGCTAACCTTTTGAAAAATCAAAGAAGTGTCCCCATATTGTGCAAGAAAAATGAATCTGCTCGGGCCCAATTGTAAACCTTTCAGTCCCACCGGAGAGCAATTATTTACACAAGTAACATCACTGGAGCCACTATGGCAAATTCATATGACACAACTGATTGACAATCACCATCTGTCCATTTTCAAATTCCCATTATTTAAGTTGCAGTTGTATGTGCAGCTACCCATTTTAGGTGCACAAGTGTGCTTTGTACCGAGAGAGTTTAGACGCACAGTTCTAAAACTTATCTCTTGAGCAACTTTTCAGAGAAAGGAACCATAGCTGCTCTTGCGAATGAGCAGTTAGGCAGGCAGTTGCATAGATGCAATTCTCCTGTGTCCACCAGTGCAGGTTTTGTGGGCACAAGTTTGCTCATTGGGCTTTTCTTTGAAAAAATACGGCCTAATTGGCTTTACCAAACATGACTTAAATTTGGACTCCTGTAGAGTATGTTAAGCATATATCTTAGCAAGATGATGCTTCTATAGAGCTTTATAGATACTAGAATCTGTAGTACTTATTACTAATAAAATGATAACATAGTTTACATTTTTAAGCAGCTTTGACTTTTTTAAAGAAAAAGATTTTAAATACATTCTGTTTGTCACTTGTGGACAACACAATAATTTCATTAGCCATAGCTATTATTGTCTGATTACATCTCCAGCATATGGTCTTAATATTGGCTCAGTGTATTTTCAATCTCCTGCTTATCATTATCTTTACCCAGCCTAAAACAAGTTTGGATTCTTTCCCTTAGAATAAAAAGTCTTAGGCTCTTTTCCCTCTTTGTTGGGGCTCTCTGACTAGTACAGTACTTACTGTAAATGGTTTGGTGAGGTGTGCCGTCAACATAACCATCAGGGTTGATCTGCAGATGGAAGCTGTTCTTCTCAGTAGCTGTGTACAGGTGTATCAAACTATCCGTTTCCCCCCAGCTGGGATTCAGCAGTGAAGAGAAGAAGGGAAAGGCAGCAATAGCTTTGAAGCTACATAGCACGAACAGCATGAAGTTCAGGCAGCTGCACTGGCTGGGCTGTGACATGATGCTCCTTCCTTTCTGACTGGTGCAGTTATCTGAAACTTGATACTTTCTCACTCCTCCTGTGTGTGTCTCTTTGCCTTCTCTGTGAATATTTGGAGTATGCTGAGTACGAATCCTCAGATGGGTTCCCTACTTTTTTGCAGCAGCTTATAAAGGGCAGCTGAATGACATCACACAGGAAAAACTTGTCCACATCCTTGGTTTTGTGAAAGCAACATTTTTAGGAGTGTCTTGAGACCTCAAAGATCCAGGGAAAAGGAATGCACGTAGGATCTCTGGAAGGAATGTAAGGTTTCTAAAGACAGCTCTCAAAAACCAGTCACGTCTTCAAATATTATCTACAAAACTCTGACATCTGAAAGCTTTTCACTTCCCTACCAATAAATAAAACAGCCCATTGTATGGAAAGCGTTTTGGGAAAAACAATGGGGAAATAAATTGAAATCTTTTTTTTTTCTTCCAGATTTATTTTCCTCGTGTTTCTGAATTAGAGCTTGATCCTTCAAAAGTGCAAAGTACCACCTGCAGGGGCTAAGTGCCTTCAACTTCCATTCAACTCAGAGGGAGGTAAGGGCGTTCTGTACTTCTGGACAATTTGTGTCCAGATCCATTACAAGTCTATTTTGCAAATGCATGGGTCTGATTTTCCTTTCATGTAGGTGTAACTTCATGAAACTCACACTGATGTAACTGCACGAAGTGGGGGTGGAGAGGGAGGAAATCAAGCCTAGTTACATTAGCTCTCCTTCCCCCCCCCCCTTGATTTTAAGTGACTCAAAATGAAGGACTCAATGATTTGATTTTGAAATGGGTAAGTAGCTGAAAACTTTTTATAAAACAATTGCTGAGAGGTTCTGGTAGTTCATTCCTTCTCTGTGAGCTTAGATAGCACTAACTTTACAGATTCCAGGTTAACTAACCAGAATAACTTTTATTAATCTGAAATATGTAGCCTATGCGTATATTGTAGTACTGTAAATATAGCAGTCATGTTCTAAGAGACATGTAAAAGATGTCAAGGTAAAACCTAGTATATATGAAAAAAGTTATAAAAGTAGAGCTGGGAGAAATTTTTTGCTTAAATACTTTTTCAATGAAAAATGCAGTCAGTGACAAGCATATGGCAAGTTCATGTGTTGTTTTTTTCTACATAATTTCAAACATTTTAAAATGTTTTTAACTAAAAATATTTTAAAATGGTTGAAATAAAAACAGAAAGCTTGTTTTGTAGAAATGTTTGATTCATTGGGATTCTTCTATCCCAAGTACAGGACTCTGCACTTGTCCTTACTGAACCTCCTCAGATTTCTTTTGGCCTAATGCTCTATCTGTGTAGGTCACACTGGGCCGTATCCTTGCCCTCCTGCATATCTACCTCTCCCCCTAGCTTAGTGTCATGTGCAAATTTTCTGAGGGTGCAATCCATCCCCTCATCCAGGTCATTAATAAAGATGTTGAACAAAACCAGCCCTAGAACCAGTCCTTGGGGTACTCTGTTTGAAACCGACCGTCAACATGACATCGAGCCATTGATAACCACCCATTGGGCCCGATAATCTAGCCAGTTTTCTATCCATTTTACAGTCCATTTATCCAATCCATGTTTCTTTAACTTGCTGGCAATAATATTGTGGGAGACTGTATCAAAAGCTTTGCTAAAGTCAAGCTATATCACATCCACTGATTTCCCCATTGTGAATCTCTGAAACTGGACTGTGCAAAAGTTGCTTTTTACAAATAAACAAAATAAAGAAGCCAAAGATTTTATGAAAAATAGATTAATCTATTTCATTTATAGAAATCATAGGTTTTACTTTTAAAAATGATAGGCAATATTGTCAGGAAAAAAAATTAAATTGACAGTATAACTTTAAACATGACATGCCAAATTCTTAATTTCCCTAAGAAAATCTGGAATAGTGTCATCAGAGTAGGTAGATTTTTCTAGCAGTGTAACTAACCACAGAATCTGGCCTGTTTTTCTGTTCTTTTGAATTAACATAACTGTGCCAAATTGTGGCTGTCTTATATCTGTGTACATCTTGACTGACATCAATGGGTACACATCTATGAATGTGAGAGTAAAATGTGGCCCAAAATGTGCAGGATGAGAACCTAAAGTGGTGTAAATCAGCAATGCCTCAGTGTTATAAGGGGAGATGTTTATAGTAGGGTGTTAAAAAGCAGTTAATTAGGTAACCATGTAACTGTTAAAATCTTACATACTGCAGTATAAAGTTTAGACTGCAGAACCTGCAGCCAGTTGTCCTCCCGGGAGCGGGGCCAGGATCTGATGTGTAATCATTATGGTAAGCAATACATTCATGTGGATCAATTAACCATTTAAAGGATTACACTATTACATCCCTAGTGTGTGCTATGTAAAGATTTTAGCTCATGAATACGTTATGCTAATAAAGTGTTATGGTATAATGACTGTAAGGATTTGTAGTCTCTAACTACATTTTTAACTGAAGCATTTTAATTAAAGCTATATTAAAGTGATGTATCCATTTTTAGAGCTGTTCAGTGGGGAAAAAATATCTGTTTACTTATTTCAGTCTGATATCTTCAGCATAGAAATTATCATACATGATCTTACCAATGGTTTATCTAGTCCAGACCTCTATTGGGCAGTGTGGTGTGTGGGGAAGGATATAACACCAGAAGGATGAGAAGAAGGTACAAGACACCCTGTAGAAAGCAAATGCGTGTTAATCTATTTTCTGGAAAATTCTCATAACCCCTAGTAGTTAGAGATTGACTTATATCCCAAATCATAAAAATTTATAACCATCATAAAACTTTAAAAAATATTTACTATCTATTCTTGTTATCCACCTAAACATCAAGTCTCTCTTCATATATTAGTTTGAATTCAAATTAAACTTCAGTTGTGAAGAGACTCTGTGCTTGCTCCATCTCAGTGAATATCCTCATATGTTCTATTCTTTCTGTGTTAGGTGCTGAACCTTGCCCTTTTAGAAAGGTTCTCATAGGATCAGCACTCTCACTGATTTCACTTAGGGCATGTCTGCACTAGCAAATTATTTCATAACTAATTTTGAAATAATAACTCGTGAAATAACTATTTTTAAATAGCCTGTCCACACTACAGGGGAGCCTCGAAATTAGTCTGTGGCAGGCTCCTTAATGTGGACATACTACCTTGATGGAGAGCTTCAGGAAGCACTGGGGAGTAATTACTTTGAATGACTCTGGGGAGTAGTTACTTTGAAATACAGGCAGTCCCCGGTTTACATGGATCTGACTTACATTGGATCCCTACTTACAAACGGGGTGAGGCAACCCCGCACTAGCTGCTTTCCCCCAGCAGACCAGGGAGACGCGGAGCGGCTTTTCTCAGCAGACACCTCAGCTTGAGAATAAAGGACTGAGGGTAGTGAGGTGTGGGAGAATAAAACTGAGCTCTGGAGAAATGTTTGGCTAGAGTTTCTCCTACAATATGTACCAGTTCCGACTTACATACAAATTCAACTTAAGAACAAACCTACAGTCCCTATCTTGTACGTAACCCGGGGACTGCCTGTAGCGTGAGTGTGAACACTTCACGGCTGCTATTTCAAAAGAACTCTTTAGAAATAAGCATTATTTCTTGTGGAAAGCAGCAGTTATTATTTTTAAATAACCACCCCCTTATTTCGAAATAATGGATTTGGTACTGTAGACGCTCCGCTTGTTGTTTCAAAATAAGGGGAGATATTTCAAAATAACTCCTTAGTGCAGAGCAGGGCATAGCTTTGTTTAAACTCAAAGTCTAAAGCAAATTTGTTTTAAGTCTCATCTGTCATATTGTTAGTGTGGATTTTGCTTTTTAAAGCAATTTTAAAAATTGGACTGTAATTTTGGAGTTTTTTTTTTAAATAGTTTATTCCTTTGTTCATTTCTTCCAATGTGAACCATTTGTTACTTTGTACGTTGGTCATCTACTTGCATGTCCAATACATTGAACTTTTGTACATCAGTTTCTTTGGTTATTTGAGCTCTCCAAGTTTGTTTGGTGTGTTTGACATGGGGGAGAGAGATGAATCACCACAGTATGTACAGGGTGAGCTATGTAATCTTGTAAAGGAAAAATGATAGGTGTTGACTGTGTTGGAGGAGAAAAAAATTAACTGAGTTTGCAAACAAAAAGTCTCAACAGCTTCTGAGTTTCAGTATTACTTTTATATTTATTTGTACTGAGATAGCATTTAAAAGCTCCAGCTGAGAACTAAGCCCCATTGTGCTATGCCTTGTACAGACACACAGTATAGGACAGTCCTTTCCTTGAAGGTTTATAATCTAAATAGACAAGAGAGAGAAAAAGAAGTGCTGTTACCACTGTTTTGCAGATGGGGAGCTGAGGCACATAGAGATTAAGTGACTTGCCCATGGTCACTGGAATCGAAGCATGATCCTCTAAGAGCCCCACTAGTGTTTTAAGAGCAGGATCCTGTTTCCTGTATTGTTTTGGGATTAATCTGATAAGAGGGCTTCCCTAATATATTGCTAGTTAATTTAAATATTTATTGAAATAAAAAAATATTTTCCTGTTTCCTTGTGTTTTTTTGCCCAGTAGTCAGGTGAATATGCAAAAGGGTCAGTAAGAAGAGGGGTATTGAAGGTTGTAATTCCTCTTTGGATTGGTGGAACAGTGTTATAGATTGTTTGTTTGTTTGTTTGTTTAAATCAGTCAGTCTGGCTGTTCCTCTGCATGACTTTCACTTTTTTTTCTCTTGGATTTAAACTGCTGAACTAACGGAGGGAGAAAAGAAAAACAGTAGCAAAAAATATAGGCAAGAAATGAGGTTAGCTTGGAATAACTATTTCCTTGCTTCCTTTCACTACCTGAAGGAGTAGAAGGTAGTAAAGTGTCATAGTAATGTGACATACAGGAATTCCTGGCTATCCAATGATGTTAGATGTACTTTTATAAAGTGTTGTCCTCTTTCAGTGATTTGCCTAAGGCAAAAACCCACCTGGAAACTTCTTGTTGAGGCCGTCTTACAATGACTGGAGGGCCTATGTCTATTTAATAACTCCATTTCTTGAAGTCTCCAAGCAAAGTGATTTCTAATTCTTCCAAGC